AACAGTTTATGAGCAGTGTATATGTGAGCAGTGTGTGGACAATGTATAGGTGTGCGAGCCCTGTGTGTGTGTGTGTGTGTGTGTGTGTGTGTGGTTGAGTCCAATGTGTGGCGTGTGTGTTGGGAGAAGGGTTGATTTGAATTTGTTTTTTCCGCTGTTCTTTTGTTGAAAACATTTTAATGTTGAACCAATGGCATCATTCCACTGGAGACAAGTCTGGGGAAGAAGACCAAACCATCCCTGACCTTGAGACCCAAGGACGACCACGTTGAACGTGACCACGGTTGCCATGGGGGTGTCTACCCCTCCAGGCCTTTCCCCTCAAAGAAATCAGAGGTCTTAGATGGACTAATTCATGACTTGTCTTTTTCTCAAGAAAGACTCGATGGCAGCGAGTTTGGCTTTTGGTTTTCTTGGGATCTGAACATTTTATTTTTTAACTAATATTTTACTGTGTTTTAGATAAAAGTTTACCTGGAAGCTTAGCTTCCCATTCAGCCACGTCCACACACATTGCTCAGCGACACTGGCTACGTTCCTCACAGTGCCTGAGCCTCCTCTTTGCTCCCTTCCATTCTGGTGGTCCTGTTTCTGTCCGTCTAGTGTCCCTGCCCCCTTACATTGCCACCTTGCTTTCAAAGTCACTGTTGAGCCGTTAGTCCATCTGAGCTTGGGAAGCTCGGATTTCCCCTGCAAGGTTCCGAGTCAAATAGCAGACGGCCATGACATGTTCATGGAATGACGGGATCATCTGGGATAGAACAGCAGTGCAGCCTGAAGGGTGTCAGCAGTGTCCCGCAGTGGGACAGGGAGACAAGGTTGCATTGGTGTGTGTTCTGCATGTATTTTCAACGACAGTGACGGGTCAAATAAATGATTAAAAAACAAAACAAAACAAAAAACCCAGCTGCCGCCATAGTCGACAACTGCAGGAAGGTGTCTTGATACATTGGTGGTGGAGATGCTCGGGTCCTGAGCGTTCTGGGTGAGGGGGGTGCTCGGCAGTTGCTGCATTGTGTGCATGAACGTGCCTGCACCCTTGCCCCGGAGCACCCCACTCTGACCGTGGCCCCGCAGGCTTGGTGGTGGAGTGGTCTGAGGACAGGAGACAGCCGGGGAAGACCATCAGCGTGCCACAGGCCACGTACCACAAGGGCTGTGTGAAAGACGTCGAGGAGGGCCTACAGGTGAGCACAGAGCCGCCTCACCTGTCTCACTGGTTGTCTTGGAGAGGTGGCCGACCAACTCGAGAGAGAGACATCTATCTGTCCTTTCTGCCCAGGCGGCCGAAAAGATCGGCTTCCCGTTGATGATCAAAGCTTCCGAAGGCGGCGGAGGGAAAGGGATCCGGAAGGCTGAGAGTACAGAGGACTTCCCAATTCTTTTCAGACAAGTGAGTGCTTTCATTTTTTTTATCTTTCTTTCTTCGCGTTGTTGTTGTCAATTCCAACCCACGCTGACCCTC